TCCACTGAATATATTAAAAATTAATAATTACTAATTATTAACGAAGCTTATTTTTTATATTGCTCACTGATTTTATAAAATATCTAGATATTAGTTTTTACCTAATTACCAACAACTCAACAAGTTAAACTAATCATTCAAGAATCTCAAAATATTATTAATATACTTAAAACTAAACAAATAACTGATAAACAAGTAGCTTATATTATAAATATAGTTATTTTTTTAACTCTTGAATACTAAATTCACAATATTGTTCTATTCAGCCGAGTGAGTCCAGAATTGCAAAGAAGAGGCAGTCTTAGAATTAATTAGTCTTAATTTTATGTATTTGTCTTTATACTTATTTAGTATGTCTCTTAATAAAATGAAGGGCAAGATCACCTAAGTTAAAAAAAAAAAAAAAAAAAAAAAAAACACAATATTGTTCTATTAAAAACAACTTGTGAACAAATACTCTCTATATATCTAACAATAGCTAAACACAAATCTAATCTCTCTTAAAGCATATCTAATAGTGTTATACTCAACTATAATATCTCTGGAATTAAAAATATATAGGATATACAACTTTAACACTATATTTCAAAATTCTTACTTCACCTTAATGATTTAAATCTTCTAGAAACAACAACTAAAATCTATATTCAATAACTAAAAAACAATTTGTGGTCTACTATAAATATTTTTTACCATCCTAATTCTATTATTAATAAGAAAAATAAATATTCTACTACTTTAAAATAATCTAATTACTTCAATATTTAAATATGTAAATAAATACATATAATAGAACAGGTCTGGTGATCTTAGTATAGTAGTTAGGTTGTCAGACTGCTATACAAGAAATCTGAGGTTCAAATCCCACTATTGATAAATTTGAATAATTACTCAGACTTTTGTACCTAACTTATGGTAAACTCTGCTCATTTCTGAGGGTTACAACCCTATAAATCATATTGCACTAATGTCAATCAGACATTAGAAGTGTGACGCAATGCTTGAGTTATATTACATGAATAAATCTTAATAGGATCTACAGACAAAGGACCTGCATAGTAAAAATACCGAGTTTGGTGAAGTAGTATGGATTTCAATAGTCAAGCTAGTTAATGCCTGATCTAGTAAAAACTTGAGTACAAAGGATATGAGATCGATAGGTGCAAGTAAGTCTGCTGTATAATATAGCCTGATGCCTTGCATTAGCAGCAACACCAACTTGGCTTGGCAGCTAACTAGATTAGGAGAATCTACCTTGTGAAACATCTAGCTAGAACTTGGAGGACTATATCTAGTGGACAGCTACAGCAGGAACTAGGTTTGTATGAACATTGACAAGGGTCTAATTCAGGTGAATCTGTGAAATGAGCACATGATCACTCTGGTATAAAATATTTCCAAGGTTAACTGGAGCTTTGCAGCTCATAATACGTTAGGTATATGTATCCCAAGAAAATCTAAGCTATATAGAGAAATAGATCTATAGGTAAACCAGTTAGCGTAAGCAGTTAGTCATAGTAGTGACGTTAGTTTGGGATAGAGGGAAGGGTTAATGATCAGAGTATTTAAATAAGTAACTTACAGGTGGATTGCAGGTATAGCAGCATAGTGTAGAACCAACAGATGGTTAATCATCTGTATAGCAGATTACTTAAATTAGACAATAACTAAAGCTATATATGTGGCTTATTATACACTCAACATGTAACTATAAAACTTTAGAAAACTGTTCATATGATAGTTCCATAATAACAAACTAATAAAAATCTAATCAGCCAAGGAAGTGGCCTTAATAACAAAAAAAAAAATAAATACATATAATAGTATAGTTATATACTATTACATATAATTAGTGATCCTAGCTGATCAAAATTTTTTGACTGGCTAAGCTGATAAAATTTATTAGCTTAGTCAGCTTAGTTAATTTTTTATTAAAATTTCAGAATTATTTAAAAGATTAAGTTTGTTCATTTTCTACATTAAAACTTTTAAGAATATTATAATAAAATTAATTAGCTGATTTTTAAAAAAATCGATTAGCTAAGCTAATTTTTCAGCTAAGCTAATTGTTTCACTATTAGCCAGAATCACTACATATAATACATATCCTCTCAAAAAATTACTTAATTAATATAACTCTTATAACACCTTTAAAAAATAACTAAAAACAAAAAACATACTTTATTTAAATCAACTCACTATTATAGATAACAGTACTCTTTTAAAATAGGCATATTTATTCTTATGAACTGGGTATCTATTTAAAGGAAAAACTCTAACTTGGTTTAAATACCTTGAATACACCTTAATTGCAAATATCTCTATAAGAAAACTTATTGAACAAATTGTACTCATATCAAATAATTATTTTAATTATACAACTAAAAACTTTAACAAAAACAAACACAAACCTTGGTTAATTACTAATTATAATAATAACTTAATTATTATAGACAAAGCTTAAATATTTAATATCTAATATAATACAATCTCTATTACTTATTGAATATATAATATTGATTACATAATCACAAAATATTATTCAACTCTATCTATAATTTGTAGTCTCTGTACTAAATATGACTTAAACTCTAACAAGATTAGAAATCAATATACTATTAATATTTTAGCTACTTTATCAACAAAATTTTGGAGAAGAAAAACCTCAAGTAATCAAACTATAATACTCAAACTTAATGCAAACTACTTAGATCTAATATATGCAACTGCAAACAGATATCTAATATATATACTTCCTACTCTAAATATTCTTATCTATAATAACTTTATTTTTAAACTATTTGAATCAAATAGTTCTTTTCTTAACTTAAGCAATATTGCAATATCTAATTCTAACTTTACAAATCTAACTTTCTATACAGATAGATCTGTTCGCAACTTAATGACTAACTACTACTCTATGAGTATCAATTAGATATAAGTTGAAAACAATCTAATAACAAACTCTTTTGCTATACAAGTTCAATATTTGCTTTTATCTTACAAAACAAAACTTCTAGCAATACTATTAGAAATTAGTACAGCTTCTTGAAATTATAAAATTAATATTTATACTAACTTATAATCAGTAATATACAAATATCAAAAACTTACTCAAATAACTACAAATCTGTTACACTTCTACTTATATAACAACTAGCTAATTTGGCATTCAATACTTAATCTTATCAAATTCTACAAACTTATAATCATATTTTACAAAGTATTAGCTTACAATAATAACAACTTTAATGAAGCAGCTAATATACTTACACAAACTTACCAAACTTTACTACTTCTTGAATTTAAGTATACTAATCTATATAATTCTAACTTCTATATTAAATAGGAAAATTTTAATATAGAACAATCTGCTCGCAAACTTATTAAAACAATATACAATACTCATATTATTGCAATGTAGTTATTACAAAACTAAAACTAAACATAAACTTATCTATATAACTAAGTTGACTAGAACTCAATATAGCTCTATCTTAATAATAATAACAAACAATTATACAAATTTACTAACTTCAAATTTAGTAAACTCAAAACTTTTTATATTAAACTTCTACATAATAAACTACCTACACTATCATATTTATAAAAATACTACTCAAACATCATATTAAGCAACAAATATTTTAAATACAACCAAACAAATTCAGAACTCTATTAGATTACAAATCATAATAACAATATTCTACAAAAAATTATTTTACAATCAGTAATTGAAATTCTTAATATTGCAAATTTAGAAATTACTCAATTCTAACTTAATATATTATAAAACTCTATTACTCACTACTCTTTACTTTAATTACCTACAAACTTTTTTAATACTATTAGTTTATATATATCACTTAAGAGACTTATACTATATATAGTACTCCAAAAGAGGTTAAGTAATCTAAATAATCAACCTCAGAATATAAAACTCAAAATTTAATATATAACCTCAAGTGATTATATAAATTACAGGTAATTAATTAATCAAAAGGTAATCAATAAAAAGTATGTCAAAATCAGTAGTAGTTAAATATTGTATAATTGATATAATTGATATAATTAGTTTAAGTCAAATGTAGAATATATAAAGTGTATTATAAAAATAGAGAATTAGTTATTTTTTTGCTCTACTTAAGTAAATTCTAAAAATATTTACTATTATATCTTTTATCAATAATAATATATCTTTAATCGAAAATTATAATTCTGCTCAATATGAGCTTAATTATTTTACGTATAATACTGAATATAAATCACAACTATTTGCCTCTATTATATCTAGTATTAATAATAGCAAAAATCTAGCAACTTTCTCTAAAAAAAGATATAGTAAGTTTTTTTCAGAAGGGCTATTTGAGGAAAAGGATCTTTCACTAGAATATCCTAAAATATATACACATTGAGAAATAGTATATCTTGTCTGTTCTAAAGATAAAAGAAAAATATAGTTATACAGAAATAATAATTCTAATACAACAAATCTTTGGTATTATCTTAATTGCTACTATTCAAACAGTGATCCAAAATCAAAAGAAAAACTATTTGAATTTACACAATTAGCTTTTAAAAAGTTATTCAATAAATAAATAGTCTTAGATAATCAGCTATTTATGACTATTAAAAATAAATACTTTCGACAAATAATAAAGCTATTAAATCTAAATGCAACTATTCCTATAAGAGATACAATTAGAAATAATATTATAAAAAGTTTCAAAGTTGAAAGTATAAATATAAAATGCTTACTTCAAAGTGTTCTAGAAAAACTTTTATTTGCTATTGATGTATGAACATCAGCAAATATTTATTCTTTTTTCACTATCATAGTATATTAGATTTCTAAAGACTAGAAGCTTCAAGGTATTTTATTAGATTTTATTAATCTTTACAGTTCTCATTCAGAAGAGAACTTGTACAATGTATTTGTTAGTAGCTATTGTGAATTTGGAATTTTATTAAAAATTTTTACGATTACAAGTAATAATACTATGAATAATGATACTTTTATACAATATCTAGAAAATATATATTATAATGAGAATATTGCTTTTAATGCTATTGAATCTCATTGTAGATATGTTGCTTATATTATAAACTTGGCCATATAAGATATTTTTAAACAATTCAAAGCTAGCAAAGCACAAACTGAAAATGCTATCTTTAATAATATGAACATATCTATAATGGCTAGAAATATAATTCTGAAACTTCAAAAACTTGTAGTTAAAATTAGATCATCACTATAGCATTATGAATGATTTATATGTCAAGTTAAAGCTGCTAGTCTTGAGAATTATAATCTTATATTAGATATTAAAACTAGGTAGAACTCAACTTATAAAATATTTGTACAAGTGCTAATGATATATAATGCAATCGATATAATTACATATTTAGATAAGGATCTTTAATTATTACAACTTGATATTCATAAATGGAATAAAATTAGAGAGATTGTAACCATTTTAGAAATATTTGTACGAACAACTAAAATAATTAAATTAGCAAAATATCTAATGCTCGCTTCTATTATACCAATATATAATTATTTAATTGATGAACTCACAAAATATTGTAATAATCTTATGAAATAATCACTGCAGTAAATGCAGAATTGATAAAGTTAGAATCATATTATTCAAGAACAAACAATATAGCTATTTATATTATCACAACTATTCTTAATCTAAGACTAAAATTGAATTATTATGAAGAAAATAATTGAAGCAAAGATTTTATCAATAGTATTAAAGCAACTATTCTTCAAATCTATAAAAATAATTATGAATTATCTTCCTATAAAGCTACCAATTTTGATCAAGATAATATAGATAATGATGATAATTTGCTTTTAGATTATATTTATAGAAAAAAACAAAGAATTAATCAACAAAATGAAGTTGAGTTATATCTGGAAGCTCCTTGGGCAATAAAAAAACAAGATATTCTTCAATAGTAAGAAGTATACAAAGCTAAATATTCTAATTTGGCTAGGATAACTAGAGATTATCTTGTGATTACTGCCACTAGGTCTCAGTAGAGCAAATATTTTCTAGAGGAACTGATTTAATTTCTGTTAAGAGATGTAGTCTTAGTATAGACTCTATTTGTACATATATGTGTCTAAAGTCCTAGTAGATATAAAGCATTATTAAACTTTAAATTTTATATTAATATTGTTACAAGTGGTATAGCCTTCTCAATATATCACAAGTAACATAAGACATGGAAGGGGGACTCCTAATGGTGTCAAAGTGGAATGTCACATCACTATAACAGTTCGTTTAAAGGAAGCATTTTTGTCAAGGCCAAGGTATACTTTATTAAGAATTAATAGAGGACTTTATTAGAGA